GGCTCGTCAAAAGAGCTACGCCGACAAGCGACGACAACCTATCGAGTTCCAACTGGGTGATAAAGTCTTCTTAAAAGTTTCCCCGACTCGTGGTATTAGACGTTTTGGTCTCAAAGGGAAGCTCAGCCCGAGATATATTGGTCCTTTTGAAATTATGGAAAGGGTTGGAGCTGTGGCCTACAAGTTAGCTCTACCGCCACAATTGTCCCACTTACATAATGTGTTCCATGTCTCTTCATTGCGAGGATACAACTATAATCCCCTACACGTCATTGAATATCCTTTGGAACATATAGAGCCTGATCTATCTTATCGCGAGGAGCCTGAGGCAATTCTTAATCGCGATGAGAGAGGTACACGAAAGAGAGTGATTCCTTTTATAAAAGTTCTTTGGAAGAATCACTCGGAACGTGAGGCGACATGGGAAACTGAAGAACATATGCGGCGGGAGTACCCAGAATTCTTCAGCTGATGTAAGTTCTCTATCTTTAAATTCGATTTCGAGGACGAAATCTTCTTTTAAAGGGGGGAGAATTGTAAGACCCGAGTTTTAAAAACGCATTCTCGTTAGCTTACCCAAATTGTACCGTATTTAAATAACGGTCAGTAATTTTTGAGGGGTTAAAACTGCCAAAATCCAAAACTCTTAATAATTATATATATATATATATATATATATATATATATATATATATATAAAGAATCCATAGGATTCTTCTTCTTCACCGACTCGTCTTCTTCATCCCTTCTCTCTCCCATCTCTCTCTCACTTCTTCTTCTTCTCTCTAAGTTTTCTTGCAAACCGTTGAAGGAATCAAGCTAACAATTATATATTCGAAATCCACTCTTCGAACTCTTCATAAAGGTATAAATTTCGTTCGTTTTTATTAAGATGTTTATGTTAGTATTTTTAGACCGGTTTACAAATTATGTTATGTATAAGTTTACGGATAGATATTGTTATAAGTATGATATATTCATGTTTAGAATGCTAGGATTGGTTAAATTGATGTAGAAATTAAAAGGGTAAATTATGGTTTCATTATGGTGAGATTTGGTGTATATGTTTAACGACACACCAATTATTTGATATAATGTCGAAAAGGAAAAAATTGCATGATTAAGCTTAGGGTAGCGATCATTGGAGTTATTTTACTGTTTAGTATGTTGAAGTATGTTAATATCACGTAAATGTAGCGAATCATGGAAATTGGATTATAAAAATTAGTCGGGAATTGCGGAATCGGATTTTACCGACTATACAGGTCCATACTTTGACAGTGTATAACTTGCAAATCGTAAGTCAGAATAAGCTCATATTTTGCAGTTAGAAATCCCTTAATGTATACTACAACTTTCATGTAGGGTCGAAAATCCAGTTATGACTCTAAGTGGCTCGAAACAGTGTGTTTTCGGGGCTGTTTGCAATGTATTTAGGATTGATATGCTGTTTTGTAATATTCGTATAAAATAGATGGATAATCCAAATGAGGTGATTTGAGAACCAGTAGTTTCATCGTATATCATACTACATCTTTCGTTTAGATAGTATTTTCTGTATTGATCTCTAAGTGAGGTAAAAATGCCCCCGAAAATGACGGTCAAAAACTGTTAAAGTCGAATTGGAATTATATAAAGCTAAGTGTTGAGTCGATTTCTCAATGCGTATTCGGCTGTCGTGTTTGAAGTTTAAGTTGTTTATAAACATGTAGGACCTATGTAATTTATTAGTAGAACTAGGATATGATCTTACGTTGTTTAAGTAATTATCGATTTGCGCATTCGTTAGGCACGCGAGCAAGTCGAACTTTACCGTGAATCTCGTTTGGTCGTGCTTTACTTCTCTATTCCGCTTAAGGTACGGATTTCACTTTCTTTGACTCTTGGGCAACTAGTTGTTGTAGTTGACCCTTCGTAACGGTGGTTCATCACTTTGTAATTGATCGCTTTAAAGTGGTCAATAAATTACGTACTTATATATATATATATAAACTCTTGAACCATTATCGTAAACTCTTGAATCTTTATCGTGAACACTTGATTTTTAGTTCGTTGAATTGTATGTTTGAATCTTTTAAGTTTGTTAAGTTGATTCTCATATTTTGAAGTAGTTTCGAG